GAAAGAGGGGACTTGGGGCCCCGCTGAGAGGGACAGAGGGGACCTGGGGACTGGCCGTGCTCTGGGGACGAGCACCCTGCTCCCCGCACGGGTCGCCCCCCCGCTGCAGGCTGAGCACGTGGCCCCAGTTCGGGGGCCGCAGCCCCTCCACTCCCCTTCCTGCTCAGTCTCTCCACAGCCATGAAGGCAAAGGTGTGCATCGGCCTCATCCTCACCATCGTGGCGACCGCGGCAGAGGTGCCAGGCGCTGCAGGGGACCCCCACCAGCTCCCTGCCAGCCTGGTCCGGCGGGACTGGCCCGAGTCCCTGTCCCAGGAGCAGAAGCACTTCATCTCCCGGTTCCTGCCCCACATCTTCACAGGTACGGGGAGGCGCGGGGTCAGGCCCCGTAAGGCACAGCCCAGCCCCTGCGCCAGCCCCCAGCCCGGGGCAGCTCTAACCTGCTCCCCTTGCCCCGGCAGAGCTGAGCGACCGCAAGGGCTACGTGCACGGGGACGAGGGGATGCAGGCCCTGCACGACCACTACTACCCCGACTGGATGGACTTCGGCCGCCGCAGCGCTGAGGACTCGGCCGATGCCGCGTAGCCGCTGCGCTGGCCATGCTGTGCAGAGCACCAGCACGCTCGGTGCTTATCTCTGCCTGCAATAAAGCTTTGGCACTGCGGCTGCTGCTGCTCATGTCTTTGCTGGGAAGAGCTGGGAGGGCGCAGGCGGGTGGGATTTGCCCCCAGCCCCACCAGAAAGCGCAGGGCAGAGACCCGATGGCGCGTGGTGGCAAACACGGCACACGAGCTGCTTCGTGACTTCACGTTTATTTGACAGGGGACAGGGCACAGCCTGGGGCGAGGGACGCAGCCAGGGGGAGCGACAGCTACGCCCCGAGAAACACCCGCTGCAGGCGTCCCCTGAGCCAGGGGTGCTGCTGCTACTGCTATTCGGTGGGCAGGAAAGAGTTTAAAACCACCATTCTCTTTAAAAGTCAGTCCAGGTGCTGGTCAGAGGCCCAGCTCGGGCTGGGAGGTCTCACCCTGGCACATCCAGGTCCCCCCGGCACCACCCGAGCCCAGGCTGAGCGGTGCCCTTCACCGCAGCAGCCCGGACAGCCCCGAAGGGCCGAGCTGCCCCTCGCTCCTTGCACAGGCTCAGCAGAAGCAGGAACAGTTTTTATTGCCAACAACGGGCTCCTGGGAAGGGTCCGTACCCCCCAACAGCAGGGGCCAGGGTCAGCCCGCACCCCCTGCCTGGAGCTGGCTCCCCCCAGAGCCCCCGGCATCACCCCACGCAGCTCCCTGCGCGCGGGACCCCCGCCGCAGCGTAACACGGGGCCGGGGAGCATCGTGCTGGGGCTGCGCGGCACCGCGGGGCTGGGTCCTGGCAGCCAGGGCAAAGCTCCGGCGAGCTGGTGCGGGGAGTGCTGCCGGGACATCACCAGGAGCTGAAAGCCTGTCCCATCTCCATTTCCCCGTGGACGGGCGACGAAGAAGATGGAGGACGTGTCTTGTCCTGAGCGCACGGGCTCCGCAGTGCCATCACGTCAGCGCGCCCCAGGCTCCCCTGCGCTGGCCCCGGGCATAGGACATCTCCCCTCTGGCCACCACCTTGTCCAGCCCCAGGCGCCGCAGCTTCTCCACCAAGTTCAAGCTGAAGATGCTGCTCCTGGGGGGGGGTCTGTCCTGCCCCCTGCCCGCAGGCAAGGGCCGGCTGTCAGCATGCTGGGGGTCCTGGGAGGGGAGCGGGGGGGCCCACCTCGACCCAGTCGCTGGCACCGAGGCGGAGATGCCCCGCAGGAGCAAGAGCCTGACGAGTCCCACGGGGGTGCTCGGGGGTCCGGGGCCAGGCATCAGCGCAGGGGAAGACAGCTCCGGCGAGGGGTTGCCGAGGCTCAGCCCCTCAAGGGGCCCACAAGAAGGCACGACGGCGTTATACAGACTGGAGGGGAAGAGAGAGCAGAGGCGGGGGTCAGCAGGGGCCCCTCTCCTCCATCCTCATTCACCTAACGAGCCGCAGGCTGTGCGAGACCCCAGGATTACAGCATTGCCCAAGCGCCCCGATGGTGATGGCCCCACGCTGGGGTGGGGGGGCTGCAGCCATGCCCCCCACGGCTCCCAGGAGGGGCCGGGACACAGGCGCTGCACCACAGGCATCTTCCAAACCTGCAGGGGTTTGTTTAACAGTGCGCAGTGAACTCCAGCTCACACCGACCCCCAACCAGCCTCAGAGGGGCTCATTAGGGCTCATTACTGACGGGGCAGGCTCTGTCCCCAGCCCCGCGCCCGGCTGCTCCAGACCTGGGGAAAGGTCTGCGTTTATGCACAAATCCAGGGAGGAGAAATCCCTGTCTGCTCCCAGGGAAGGTGACTCTCCATCAGCATCGGGAGCGAACGCTGCTCTTGTCCCCAGGGATGGGCCCAGCCTCACGCGCGCCGAGGAAGGCTCTTCTTCCCCTCAAGGTCCCAGCCCCGGGCACGCAGCCGCTCAAGCAGCCAGATTTAGGGACATTGAGATTCTGGGACATTTCAAGTGCCAGGCATCTCTCAGAGCATCAGGGGCTGCAGGAAGCCCCCAGCCCGCTGCCTTCCTCGAGCCGCACAGAGCCAGGCACGGGGTGAGGAGGA